ACATTCACATGTCTACATCTTTGCTCTGGGCTGGTTCAACTACTTAACCCCTTTATGCCTCAGTTTCCCCATGTTTCACTGTAAGGCTTAGACCCTCCTCCACTTACCCAGATGAAGTGAAGGAGCATAAATGTGACACCCCTTAGGAGAAAGGCACAGTCTACTTACCCTGCATTCTCAGCCCAGCTCCCAGAACAGGGGAGATTCTGGCACTTCCTCTGGAGCCTTTCCCGGAATCTGACAAATCTCTCTCCTTTCCTCCCACCCCCTCCCTCCTTGTCACCCCTCTGCCTCCTGTGACTTCCACTGGCTGCGCATCCAGCTGATCCATGACCAGGATAATCAGATTATCATGGGTCCAGAATAATCTATTCCATATGGCTTGCCAACTCAGTGGCTCCAGGAGCTAAAGGTGTGAGGAGAGGGGCTGATCTCAGTTGGAAGGGGCTTCCTGGGAGCTTCCGGGGCCTTAGCTGGGAGGCTGATGGGGAAGGAGGGAGGTGGAGGAGAAGTCGGGAGCCTTCCTGCCGGGCCCTCTGGCTGCTCTGGGCTCCAGGTGGCTGCTGCCCTCTCTCCAGCACAAGCACGGCCTCATCTATCCACGACCCAGTGGGGCTTAGGCTCCATGGTCGGGGGCTGGGCACTCCCTGTGCCTTTTCCACTCTCTGGATTGGGGGGTGCTCACTATAGGGCATTGCTTCTCAAAAGTGGCCAAGGATCATAATTCTTGGGAGATTTTACTTTTCATACCCAGAATCTCCTCCAGGGATTCTGGTTCAAGCAGCTCCAGCCTGGGTCTGGAAACGTTTTTCTTTTTACATCTCAACAGGTCCCAGTGACTTGTAGTGAGGTTTCATGGAGGCTTGGGGACTATGGGGCGTCGTCCCCACCTCAGCACCCTCACTCTCCAGGCAGCCCTCTAGGAGGAAAGGAGCCAATCAACTCCTCCAGAGGAGACAGGGGAGCTGGTGGTAGGACAGAACACGGGCTTTGGTCCCAGACAGAGCCAAATGGATCCCAGCTCTGCCCCTACTAGCCATGTGACATAGGACCACTGCTCTGCTCCTCCGTGTCTTTAACTACAAAGCAAGGCAATGACACCCACATCACGTCAGCACAGTAGGTATTACTCATGGCACAGAAGCAGAGGCTGGGGCCCAGAGATGGAGAGTGAGTTACCCAAGTGACACAAGTGGTACATGGCAGGGCAGGGGTTCTATTCTAAGCCACACTGGCCACACCCCAGAGGGGTGTCCTAGGCTGTCTAAAGGTGGGGACTTCATGAATAACAATCGCTCCCCTGAAAGGGCTTGCCTCTCAGGCTGGTGCCGAGGTGTGGTGGGAAGATCCCTGGCAATAGGAAACACCCAAATTAGGAGCTTCCCAGGAGGTGCGCCTGCTGATGCCAAACAGGCTGGCGGTAGCAGAGAGCTGCTTCCTTCTCCTGGGGCCTCTGGCTCCCGAGGGGATGGGGATTAGGGGCTGCAAGGGCAGTACTGACATTGCACCTTTGATTAGCACTCCTATGTCAGAGGGCCTGACCAGGAAAATGAGGGCGCTGAGGCCGGGAGGTGGGAGGGGGAGAGCGCCCAGGACCCAGGCTTGGCCTGAGGAAGCTGACTGGTTCCTAGCGGGAAGGCTGAGACCGGGGGCCCCAGCCTGAGAGGGTGCTGCCCTGTCCTGCCTGCCCCCACCCTGGCCAAGGACCCCGACTGAAATCTCACCTCCGCTTGGTGGGGCTGCCCCAAGGCCTCATTTCCCAGCCTTACACGTTGGCAGGCGACGGCAGGCTCGGGCCAGGGGAGCAAGAGCCACTGGCTCCGGCACTTGTCAAAACACAGGCCCCAGAGGTGTGAAGTCCTCACCCCAGCAGGAGGGCGTGTGGGCCGTGCAGCCCGGAGAACTCATTAACTGGGGCAGCTCCCTAATGAAGCCACCGGAGAGGCTGGCGATAAGGAGATCAAAGGTGAGAGAGGCATGGGGGCAAGGGAAGAGGGAGGCTAGCTGACGGGAGGGGGTAGAGCCCAGGTTGGGGGTCCCCCCTTTGCCCCCACTTGGCTTCATCAGGCCCACTGACCACAGCCCTTGCACACTCTGGGCCCCAAGACTCAGAGGCAACAGGAAAGGGAGGGACTCCCACGTGGCACATCCAATTTGTCAGCCTTAGGGCTGGAGACTGAAGGACTGGAGTTGGGGGTGGAACCCTCCCATCTGCCCTGCCTCTCATGCCATTTTTGTGAGTTCTTTGCCTCCACAGACACACCTGGGTCTTTTTAACCCTCTCTCATGGCGTTTCTCTCCTGTTCCAGATCTCTCAGTGGCTCCCATGTAAGTGAGCAATGAATGTTAACTGTTTGGTCCCAGATCTGAGAATCCTCAGGGCCCAGAGCTGTGTTTTCAGGATAAACAGTCTGCCTCCCACACATATGGCCTCTTGTTTAAAGAATGTCTAGTTGATTTTGTACTTAATAAAATAAAACTTCACTTCAGAGCATTGCTGCCCACAAACCAGGAATGGTGGTTTCCTCTGGACCGGGAATTGGAGGCCTCAGACGGAGAATAGCAAAGAGGTTTGTTATACCCTCTGTACTTGTTCAACTTTTAATCATGTGCGTATATTATATTTTCAAATGTATAACAGTATAACAAAAGGGTGGCTGATTGTCTAGGAGTTTTTTGTCATTCTGAGTTTTCTCAATTATGAGCTACAAAGTGGAAATCAGAATCATGTGGGAATTGGAGGAATTTTTTGACATTCAGAGGTTGGCAACAGAATGCCCAGAGCCCTCTGAGATCCCACCCCTCCTGCCTGTCCAGCTTTTAGGCTGCACCTCCCCCTGCTTGGGTGCACAACCAATTCTCACCATTTGTTAGCTCTGGTCCAGTGGATCAAAGGGACCATCACTGGGCTCTAATGCCAGGTTATTGGCTTGGATATGGAACCCCAGGAAGGCATCCATCGGCCAGGGTCCAGAAGGGGCAGACCCTGCTGACAGCTGCAGGCCTAGGCCAGGCTCTCACAGGGTCCCATGGCATGTGCCCATGGAGTGGGCTCCTCCCCTTTTCCCCAATGGTGGGTTGGCATTGCCTGTCCTGGATGTGACCATGGGCATAAGCATCTGGGGCTGCTGAGACAGACTGCAGGGTAGAGGGTATAGAGGGTGTTAGAAAAGGCCAAGGGCAGTAGAAAAAAAAAGAGACAAGGGGAGGGAGGAGGTGGTGAGCAGAGATGCCCAGGAAGAAGGTACCAAGCCACTTGGCTTTCTTTGCTACAAACCAGCTCAGCCATCAATCTCACAGAACTGGAAGCCATGGGGGATGCAAAACAGTAGACCGCCGGCACTGAAAGAGACCCTAGATACCACTTCTTCTTCTTTTTAATTTTTTTTTTAACCACTTCTTTTGAAGACATGATACCAGACACCAGGTACTTCACAGTCTAGCTGGAGAACAGACATCCATGCATGAAGCGGCTATTTTGACAATGTGCAAGCTCAAACCTGAGGGGTCAGGCAGGCAATATAGTAGATTCTCTGAGATTTCCCATGTGGACAATCACGTCCATAAATAGAGTTTTATTTCTTCCTTTACAATCTGTAAGCCTTTTATTTCTCTTTCCTTACTGCACAAGCCCCCCGCCCCGGCAACGTTGAAGAGGCATGGGGTAGGAGCAGACATCCTCACCTTGTTCTCAGTATTAGGGGGAAATCTTTCAGTCTTTCACTATTTAGTATGCTGTTAGCTGTAGCTTCTTTGTAGATGCTTTCCATCAGACTGAGAAAGTTCTCCTTTAGTCTGAGTTTGCTGAGAATTTTTATCATGAAGGGGTGCTGATTTTTTTTTCTTGGCTTCTCTGTGGTTTGTGGGATCTTAGTTCCCTGACCAGGGATTGAACACAGCAGTGAGAGAGCCCAGTCCTAACCACTGGACCACCAGGGAATTCCCCTGAATTTTGTTAAATGCTTTTTTTCTGTGTCATTTGCACTCACATTTCATTGGCAAGGCCCGTTATACCTGCCCCAAAGTGGCAGAATACCAGCTAGAGGCAAGTGGTGGCAGCTGTGGCAACAGGCCGAGCCCTTAATCCTGCCAGGCTGAAGGTGGCCTGGAGGGCAGCAGGCTTCCTCTCCCTCCACTCAGACGGTCCAGCAACCTGCCCAGATTCAGCCAGCTTGTTGGATTTACCTAGGGTAGCCTTGTCCCTCCCACTCACTACCACCAGGGAAGGGTGCACCCAGGACCAACCTGCCTCAGAGGAGGAACGGATTACTCTAGCCTCTGGCAGGAATCAGTGCCCCACTCCTGGTCACTATACGAGTCCACAGACCTGGCTGCACTATGCCCTGAGGCTCCCATCATTCAAACTGGAAACGAAGATTCAAGAAAACTTAAGAATTTGCATAAGGTCCCCAACAGGTGAAGGCAGACCCAAACCTAAGTACTGAACCTCCAGTTCCCCGACCTCGCTTCCTTTAACCTACTGAGCTGGCCCAACACCCTGGACAGCGCCAGGCACTGGCGCAGGCAGGAGGCCCGAGTGTCTGGGTCAGGTGCGCATGCGAGGACCCAGGAGGGGCCAACCTGGCGCGGCCAACGGGCAGACACCTTCGCCCCCCGTTGGTTCAAAGGGTCAAGCCCCGCCCCCACCAGGCCCCGAGCCCGCTTTGAAGTGCTGATGCGGCCTGGAAGGGGCCACTTCACACCTCGGGCTCAGGATAAAGCTGTCGCTGGCCGCCGGCCCCCAGACGCGCCGGCGCTGCCATGGCCCAGTCCCTGCCCCCGCCGCTCTCTGAGTCCTGGATCCTCTCCGCGGGCTGGGGCCCAGCTCGGCCGCCGCCGGCCTCCAACAGGGACTGTGGCTGCTCGCCCGCCTCGTCCCCGGACTCCTGGGGCAGCGCCCTGGCCGGCAGCCCCGTGTCTAGCCCCGGGAGGCCCGTCACCAGCGCCGCCCTCCGCGCCCCGACTGCGGGGAGGCGCGGCGCCCGCAGCAGCCGCCTAGGCAGCGGGCAGCGGCAGAGCGCCAGCGAGCGCGAGAAGCTGCGCATGCGCACGCTCGCCCGCGCCCTGCACGAGCTGCGCCGCTTTCTGCCGCCGTCCGTGGCGCCCGCCGGCCAGAGCCTGACCAAGATCGAGACGCTGCGCCTGGCCATCCGCTACATCGGCCACCTGTCGGCCGTGCTGGGCCTCAGCGAGGAGAGCCTGCAGCGCCGGCGCCGGCGCCACAGCTACGCGGCGCTCCCTCGAGGCTGCCCGCTGTGCCCCGACGGCGGCCCCGCGCAGGCGCAGACGCAGACGCAGACGCAGATGCAGACTCAGGCACAGGCGTGCGGCCCAGACCTGGGCTCAGCCGCCAGCGCCGTGGTGTCCTGGGGGTCCCCGCCCGCATACCCCGGAGCCCTAGCGGCGCCCGAGCCGCGCGATCCGCCGGTGCTTTACAACGAGGCGGCGTGCCCGGAAGGGCCGGCGATGGAGCCAAGCCCCTCATCTCCGGTTAGTACTTCCTTCCCGCGCGGAGCTCCCTCCGGGCGCGGCGCAGTAGTGGATGGCGCTACCTACTGTCTCGCGGCCCCCGGCGCGCACTGCGGGGACCAGCCCCCGTGCGGCTTCTCCACTGACGGCCCGGCCTCGCCTGCTCGCCCTCCGGAGCAACAGAGTTGGTGTGCCCGGGGCGCTCGAGCGGCGAGGGGAGGGAGAGTACACGCAGGGGGCGGGGCCCCGCTCCCCGCCAGAGGCGCCCTGAAAGTGGAGCTCGCGAGGCGGACACCCACGCTCGGTGTCCAACGCTGAGGGCCTCGCTGTTCCCTCTCTCCTCAAGCTCTTTCCCGGCGACGTACTGGCCCTGCTGGAGACCTGGATGCCCCTCTCGCCCCTGGAGTGGCCGCCGGCCTGAGTAGTTGAAGTGACGGCGGACATCTGGCGCCCTGTTCTGTGAGGACCGACGCCTTTTTGGCCTCTGAGCCTTCGAAGAGGTCCCGCTGTAGACTCCCTTTCCTGGAAGAGGGCACTGGCGATACTGGCATGCGCATTGCTGAAAGGGAGAGCCTGTCCCCACCCAGGACGGACTTCCCCAACCCCTCCCGTGATGGAGGGACCCAGAGGGTAGACACTTTGAGGCAGGCAGGAGGCTCTGCCTAGTACGTGTTTATTTATTTGTGAATAAATTTTGTGCTGGTGTCACTTGGCAAGTTCTTCTTTCTTTACAGGGGCACAAAGCTCCCTTCTTCTCCTCTGAAGGACGTAGGAGAGTTGGGAGGGTTTCTTGCAGTCTTCAGCCCCCAAAGCACACAGGCTCAGACCCCTTCCTCCTTTTCCCCAGCCCCGGCTTAGCACCTCCTGTTCCAGATGGGTTAGCCTGAGGTGGGAGGAGATTCTATGGAGAAAGTGGCAGCGAGCGGAGTCTGTCCATCTTTTCTTTGAATCTGGTGGGGAGCTGAATAAAACCAAATATCTCTGTAGAAAATGCATTTCCATTAGTGCGTACTTACTGTGCACCAGGTCCTTTACACATTTCATACCTAAGTAATCATTTTGCAGAAGGATAAGCCAAGGGTCAGCACTCAAGCCTAGGTATGACTTCAGAATCCGGGCTCTCAGCTCTGATAGAGTTTTGCCAGCTCCATTCATTCTGGGGTCTGAGGGGACACCAGCCCCAAGGGCTCACTGCATGTGTCCCAAGTCCTTATTCCCCTTGTGCTGGAGCGTTAGGCCTGGACCCTGGGATTTTCCCATCTCCCTTCACTCTGGTTTCTCTCCTGTGTGGTTTAGAGACATGAAATAATATCAGTGGTCAGCCCCAAGTTTAAGTAACTGTGACCTCCCAGAGGCCTGGCTAGGGTGAGATGAGAGGTCCATTGGTTGCATCCAAATCCACAGAGCTGACCTGGAACCAGGCTTGGATTCAGGTTAGGGAAGTGCTGTGTGGGGAAGGGGGAGCCTTGAGCCCTGAAGGAGCCTGGCCTCAGTCAGGGGGTCTGGTGAGCAGTCAAGCCTGGGGGGTGGTGAGGTGGGTTAAGGGGGTGTAGCCTCTCTGTCCAAGGGTTCCTCAGCCATCTATGGATACTCAGTTCTTCCCCTCTGACCCGCTCAAGCATCTTTGAAATACTGGCCTTGGCATTTTTTATAAGAGCTTTATTGAGATATTATTTATGTACCATAAAATTCACTCTTTTAAAATACATAATTCAATGGTTTTGGTATATTCATACAGTTATGTAATCATCACCACTGTCTAATTTTGGGTCATTTTCATCACCCCCCGAAAGAGACCCTGTAACCATTAACAGTGACTCCCCATGATTCCGTTCCCCCACTCCCCACCCCAGCCAGCTCATCTGCTTTCTATCTCTATAGATTTGCCTGTTCTGGACATTTAGTATGAATGGAATTATATAACATAAGGCCTTTTGCATCTTTCACTTAGCATCATATTTTCTCATGTATCGGTACTTTGTTTCTTTTTATTGCTCAATGCTGTTCCATTGTATGGATATACCACTGTTTATTTATCCATTGATATTGATAGGTTTGTTTTGAAACCACTTTGGAGATCATTTCCAGTGCTCTGGCCCAGGCCAGGAGGGGCAGTAATTCAGAGTGGGGTGGGGGACTCACTGTGTATAATTCAGAAGCCCAGACGCACCCTGGCCAGCGTTTGGCTGCAGAGAGTGCCATCCAAAAGCAGAGGCCCTGTAGCGGGGCGGGACCTCACGCCTTCGCTGATCCGCCCCCTTTCCCGCACCTCCACCCCCAACGCGCTCTCCCTTCCCAGAGCCCTAAGGAGCTGAACGGGAAGTCTTTTCCAGGACCCAGCCCAGTTTAGAAAATCTATTTACATGGCAAAGGCCCCGTGGTTTAGGACGGGGAATTAAAGTTATTAGCAAGTCTTTTCACAGATAAGTGGGGCTCTTCGGCCAGCCCCTCCCCTGCGGAGAGCCTCCCCTCGCTCTCGGAGCCCAGGAGCGGCCCACTGTTTATTAGCACCTGGGTGTGAATTTTCATTAGCACGTCCCTGTTAATAAGAGAGGTCTGGAGATGGGAAGGGAGCGCCTCCCACCACTCCCACGCCCCCACCCCCTTCCTGGGCTGGCCGCACTCACACCCAGCGGGAGGAGGACCAAGCAGCGTCCAGGTAGGTGAGCCCTGGGCGAGTGCTCGCTCTCAGTTCTCTGCTAACCTGTGAGCTAACCCCAGTTAGCAGGGCCATCTTGAGGATGCGCAGTTAGGGAAGGAAGAGGCTAACTAACACGCCCGTGCGGATATTCAGGGGCAACGCTGGGACTGGGACGCGGGTGTGACTCTAGGGCCTGCCTGTGTGCTTCCCCGATGGTGCACTGCCTTTGCGACAGCTGAGCAAGGACAGAGGGTGCTAGGTGGCGCATCACCTCACCTGGGGCTGGTCCAGAACGGTCTGGGCACCGTCCTGCTAGAAGTGGGAGGAGGGGGAGGATGGCATCAGAGGCCTGGCCTGCGGATCCGCCGGCACGCTGGTCGCCGCCAGCCTACAGTGCTGCCCTGCTTTCCGCCTTTGAAGCCCAAGGGGTCAGAACCCATGTGGTGGAGAAACAGACATATATGGAGCAGCAATGTCAAGTCATTTTAGCCTCAGAGCCACAGGTGAGGTGGGCAGGTGGTGCTTATACCTATTTTACAGATCAGGACACTGGAGCACAGAAAAAGGTCAAGGAATTTTTCACAAAGCTAGTGCGCGGCTATTGGGGTGGGGACAACGGTTGGTGGTAGTCGACAAATCCGGTCTTTGCCTTAGCCTGGTAGGCGAGTGTGTGAGCATGTTGGGGGTGTGAAATAAAGCTCCTAAAGCACATGGGCCACCAGTGCCGTTGCCAGCAGGGACCTGCCACTGCCTGCTGACCACACGTGTTGCTCCCGCCGAGACAGCTGTACTGTGTAGATGCTGATGCTGGACGGGCCAGTGTTTTAAGGAGGGGCAGCTAAGCTGATTGGTCGACATGCAAAACATTTGTTCAAGGACACGCCACTTGGGTCACCGTATGAACCCAGGGGCGGAGGGAAGGGCTGGTGGTCATGAGTTGTCTGTATCGGCAGATGGCGGACTGTCACTGGTAGCAGGGCTGGAGAGCTGGGCTCAGCCGTGGGTGGGCAGGTGGTGCACCTGGAGGAGGGCCGTGCGTTGGCCATGCGTTGCTAAATAAACAGGTCCATCTGAGGGGCACGTGGATGCCCCAGGATTCTGAAACACCCCCTACCTGGAGAACCAGGCTGGCACAGGGCTGGGGAGGGAAGCGAGCCCTAACTGCAAAGCCCCTGTTTATCCCAGGGCGAGGCCAGGGCCACTTTGTCCACTCCCCAGCTCTCCCCCAGGGGCAGACCCTGCATTTGCACAACACTGAGGGTAAGTGCCTCCTCAACTTTGTACCCCAGGCACTCATTTGCCTCACCCTAGTCCCAACACTCCCCTGAGAAGACCCAAGCTTCTTGGTGCTGCTCCTAAGGGGCCCTTTCTCCCAGTGGGCAAGGACCTCTTTGGGGGTCACTGGCACAGCCCCAGTGGTGCACCAGCGCTAGTGCCCTGGATCCCCAGCCTAGTGCCGCCTGGGCCTCTTCTGCCCACTTTGTCAGCCCTGGTCCTTCTTCCTCCCTCTGTGGGCCTCGGCGCCTCAGGCTCCCTGTGAATGCCCAGCCCTCCTCACCCCCCCACGCACACTAGGAAATGAGGCGGTGGCCTGGTGTTGGCTGCATGTGACTGTGGAAAGGGTGGACAGGGCACCTCCGTTGTCTTGGCCTGTTCAGCATCCCTCCTGCCTTCGTCCCTTGCGGCCTGTCATTTTCTTTTCTCCAGGCAGCTCCCCCTTCCTTAGTTTGGGTGGCCATGATCTCCATGCCCCTCCAGGGATGGGCATGTGCGCAGGCTGGTGAGGTCGTCATGGTGAGTGGTTCAGGGATGTGACCACGCGCAGGCGGGTGAGGAGCAGGCTCAGGACTTTGCTGGAACCATCGAGAAAGGGACACTCACTGTGGGTGCTGTTGGTGGCCGTGGTGCCGCCCAAGCAGAGGGCCTACCTGGAAAGGGAGTCAAAACTGAGAGGCAGGGCTTCCCTGGTGGCGCAGTGGTTGGGAGTCCACCTGCCGATGCAGGGGACACGGGTTCGTGCCCCGGTCCGGGAGGATCCCACATGCCGTGGAGCGGCTGGGCCCGTGAGCCATGGCCGTTGAGCCTGCGCGTCGGAGCCTGTGCTCCGCAACGGGAGAGGCCACGACAGTGAGAGGCCTGTGTACTGCAAAAAAACCCCACAAAAAAACAAAAAAAACCTGAGAGGCGGAGAAGGATTCCTGCTCTTATCCAACACCAGGGTCCAGCCACATGGAAAGCATTACGCCAGGACTTTTACACTACATGAGCCAACAAATTCCCCTCGTTGCTAAAGTTAGTCTGAGGTGGGTTTCTGACACTTGCTGTTGAAAAAGTCCATCTGGATTTGATACAGGCTGTTCCAAGCTGTGTAACCTGAGTGTCAATTTCCCTCTCATGTAAAATGGGGGTAATGATATCTACATTTCACAAGGCTTATATGAAAAATACACAGACCACGGTAGATGCCCCGTAAATGTTAGTTCCCCGTCACATTTAGGTGGCGTGTAAGGCCAAGACTATCATCCTAAGTTTTCCTTCCTCATCTCAGAGAGAGCTGCCACCATGCCTACTGTGGAAAAGGATTGTTGTAGAAAGTTGTTTTTGCTGCTGTGTTTTCATTCCCATCCGGGGGAGGGCAAGGGGCAGAGTGTCTCAGGCGGGGACCTCTTCATCCAGGGGACATTCAGCTATAGTCGGTATCAGCACCATGAGGGCGGTGTCGTGCCAACAAAGAGTGTGTGTGACCCAGGTGGGAAGGTGGATGGGGACACAAAAGCAGC